TGACCTTGAGGCCTGAGGGCTGAGAAAAGCTTTCCTCCTTTCTAGTCCAGCTGGGCTGCTACTGGCCAGGTCACAAGTCCAGTGGCTCTTTGGGAAGCCCAGGCATCCACTCTACATGATTCAAGAGTGACAGGCAAGTGCAGGCAGCTCCTGGCCGTCACATGCAAAAGGACATCCAAGCGGGGCTAACACACAGTTAGCTCCATGCAGGTTAGATGTGTCACAGTGGAGCATGACGCAGAAGCCAAATTTTTAGGTTGCTCAGGCATAGGGCAGCCGGTTGAGAGTCCACAGGAGGGAAGAGACTCCTGATTTGGTCCTGAGCAGCACACCGGACCTGGTTCAAAGAGTTTTAATAAAAAAGCTGTTCTTATAACAGGCAGTGACACACTTAGAACCAGAAACAATACAACACAGTCACACTTTATTTTTAAAAGGGGAAAAAAAATTGAAGAGATTGAAGGGAAAACTCATAAAAAGGAACAGTCAAAAACACAAAATACTGCAGATGGAACAGAGGTTGTTTAGAAAGACCTGCTTAGCTTTGCTCTGAGCGCCTAAGCTGGTATTAGAAAGCACAAACCCCAAACAACCTTACAGAGTCCAAAGGGAAGCCAGCATGATTAAAATGACAGTTTAAAGGTCTGACCAGAAAAAAGATAAACTTTTTAAAACTTGCAGATGTTGCATCCATAGGAAGACAGTAGGATAAGCCCTGGAAAGTTAACCAGCAACAGAATAAGATGAACAACCCAAAACCACCAGAAGATGGCCAGTTGCTCCTCTATGCTGAGGAATAACATCTTTCTTTATATATGTGCTTTTTTTTAAAGGCATCGGGGCAGGAACTGAATACTAGAATCCGTTAGATCAATAGATGGTCAAATTCAAAGTGAATATTCAAAGAAAATAAGCTGATAGGAAAGCAAAGGAACTCTGCATCTGCCTTTACTGAGGAGGAATTTTGGTAGACTCCTTGGCTAGGACATCTCTTTTGTTGATACATTAAAGGAGCTGTCCTAAATTGATTTGCCAATACAGAAATAAAAATGAGTAGTTAAACAGTGGAAATGACATTTCCAGTCAAAATAAATTAGGTATGAAACTCATGAACTTTTTACTGCAGTGTGTCTTCTTAGAACTGCCTTCTCATTGGAAGACTACAGGTGGTAAATATTATGCTAGTTTTTAAGGAGGCTATAAGAGATAAAGAGAACTACAAACAAATAGACCTGCTATGCACAGCAGGCAGATTCACAAAAGTTGTAATAAAGGGCAGAACTGATTGATGCACAGACAAATTATGTCGGGGGGAGACTGATTCCAACTTCTGCACAGAAAAGTCATGCCTCAAAAATGTTTTTGGAGGAATCAACATGACACAGGTATTGGACATTCCTTCCTCATCTGGGAAGGGTCTTCATCAAAGCTTACTGAAGGTAAGCTACCATAGACTGAGGAGGAAGATCCTCACACGGACAGATGAGTGGCTAAGAGACAGAAAAAGGCAGCCATGGGACAAAGATTACCCCATGTGCTAATCAATGTGTTCACAGGTGACCTAGAAAGGGATGTGAACAGGGAAGGGACAGAGTCCGCTGATAGCAGATTAGCAGGGCAGTAAGACTGAAGATCAAGCCAGAGTCACAGAAGTGTCTCACAGGAGCAAGTGCCAGGACAGTGACACAGGACACAGCTGTGATGTCCCACAACCCTCTGCACTTCTCAGCCAGCTGTTATCATCCCAGAGAGGTCACTGTGCTGATAGATGGCCTTGCAGCAGGTGTCAAAAGTGGCAAATGCAGCAAGAGATCTTAGGACGGGAGTGGACAACAGGACAAGATGTTGCATAAATCCAAGGTGCACCCACATCTTCATGACTGAGTGGAAGTCCAGGTGTGGTTACGTGGCCTCAGTGTGGACATGATCAAGGCAAGAGAGAAAGAGAGAAGGATGAGAGGTGCATGGCACAGGACCCTCCAGATGGGGGAGCAAGAATACTGAGAGGGTCACTTTAAGATCTGGAAGAGCAGGAAGAGGATGAATAGAAAAAATAAATCGCTAAAAAGCACCACTGCCATCAGCTGTGAAGATTGCAAAAGAGCTTCTCATAAATATCAGAGTGCCAAAAGTGTACCTCAGCCCAGGAAGACTAGACACATTAAAGGAAGAAAAATCCTGTGGAAGTCTTTATACAACAGCCACATCTCACCAACATTGCTGAGTTTTCCTAAAGTGGGGCAGGTACTGCAGTCATTTCACCCTGCTCCTATGCACTTTGCTTTGTGCCTGGTATGGGCTACTGTTGAAGACAGAGCGCTGGGAGAGAGGATGTATGATCCGACCTGGCACAGCCAACCTCACTGCAGCTGCTGTGGTTCAGATCACACCACGCAGCATGCGGCGATGGAAGAGGCAATTTCCTCAGCCTGCTGGGCCGGGCAGGAGCACTGTGACTCACACCCCAACACGATGCTCTGCTCTCTGCTTATGGGATGGCACCATTTTTGTCGTTGTCAGGACCTCAGACCTCCTGGTCGGACCGGAACCTGACCTGCAGAGCAGCAAAAAGCTAGGGAGGAGCATCAAGGTGAAAATGCTCTCAGTTTGGGATGAGTGGCAAGTATAACGATAGGCTCAATGAGGGGGCTGAGGAGTTGTGGGGAGCCACGACATGGTATGGACCCCCTCAGCCCCCTTGCCTGTTCTGCATGGAGGAAAGTTGCAAACAGAGAAGAAGCTGGAAAGGTGGACTGAGCCCGCTGTGTACAGATCTGCTCTGGAGCAGCCACAGCAGGCACGTGGCACACAGCACAGGGAGAAAACAAAAGTGCAGGAGGAGGAATGGAAAATATTGATGGCAGAAAGAAATGATCTCACTGCCTTGTGCCTGGGTAATGCCCACACAAGGCAGGAAGGAAATATTTGGCTGGAACATAATGTGGAGACACCAGGACTCCCAGTCACATATAGTCCTTGGCAAAGGGTGTTGCTGGTGGCAGGATGTTATGATCCACATTAACAAATGTACTGGAAACAAGCCTTGAGGCAAAGCTATGTGTGGGCCCAGCACTCTTGGAAGCTTGGCAAACACTTGAACTATTCCAGTACAAACTGGCCAAAGAGGTGAATTCCTGTTGGGAAATGCAGACTCCTTCCCAAAAAGCGTGGAGGTGTCACTGGCTTGGAAATTCCCAGCTGTGACCATTGCCTTGCTGCTGTTAGGATGTGTCCAGCTCTGCAAGGGCACAAACAGGAGTCAGTGCTCAGGGCCTGAGTTTTCCCAGCAGGGAGTGAGGTGCTGCCAATTGGACCATAACCTCCCTTTCTTCATCCTCCTCCAGCCACCACTCCAGGGAAGAGAAGAGCACCAAAGAGTGCAAAGGGGCAAATAGTGCAAAAAGGACCCACAAAATAGGAAAGAACTGAGGTAGAAGTTCCTGAGGTAAAGGGAACCCCAGGACCAGCCACAGCTCCGTCCGCATTCAGCATCAAGATCAGGAGGAGAAGTTTCCCAAACGTATTTTCCCTGTCGCCATGACAAGGAGAAGGAAGGAGCATCTAGAAACATTCTGATGAATTCAGCTGACCCGACACATCTGGTACTACTACACAGAAATGAGGCAGAGCACAGACTGAAATGAAAGCCTGGATAGACAAGCAATGATGGCCAGGGACTGGCGGAGTGGAAAGATCAGTGGAAAGGATTTTTGGGGAACTTCCTTTTCCGAGATGGGGGACAACTGTAGTTTACCCTGTGGAATCTCAGTGCCTGTGATCATTGACTGAGCCTTTGAAGATCAGCACATGCGTGATGCCTCAGTCCAGCTTTCCAAGGGCTTTGCTGGGAGCACAGTTTACCCTGTGTAGTTTTCTGTTTGTCAGAGTGGATTTGGGGAGCGAGGAGAGCTGAACAGCACAGAGAATAGCAGCTCTTGGCATGGAAGGGTGGAGTGGGATTTCTACTCAGAAATATGAATTCAAAGAAAGATGGCCCCTACAGACAGGGGCAGACATTTACCATCACTGAATAATCTGACCGCTGCAGAGTGCCCAGGGACAGAGACCACACACAGACCTGTACCAGCTCTCTGAAGAAAGCTTTGGTGTCACTTTTGTTTCATCAGGAGAGAAGCATGGGGAAATGGAGTATGTGCTCTGAAAGGACTGAAAAGTCCAATCACGTGGCTGGAAGGTTAATGGGTCTAAGGGGAAGCCCAGTGCCTGATTAGGGTTGTGCTGCTTGGGGATTAAAAGTGCACCTGTTTCCCTGTGTTTATATTCAGAGTCAGCCTGTGGGGAATCCCAGATCCTTCCTCCACCCACCTTTGCCTCAGAGGACAGGAGGAGCAGTGGTTAGAGCAGCTTTGGAAGCCCATCTCTAGATATACCTGCATGTGACCAACCCTGAGAGCCACCATGGCGGCTAGTGGGCCTGAAAGGTCCCAGAGCTGAGACCTGTCCCTCCCATGGCCGAGCCTGAACTAATGGACAGATAGGGCTTAAAAGGAGCACAGAGCTGGCAATCACTGCAAGGCAAGCAGAGAAAAGGTTGGTGGGATGGCCACTAGCCGTGTGGACATGGCCACTAGCCGTGTGGACATGGCCACAAGCCCTTCAAACTCCAACCTCAGCTTTCTGAAACTCCCATGGCCTTTCTCAGCCCAGCCCCTCACGACAGTGGGATTTCCAACCTCACTCCACTCCTCAATTCACCTCTGCCCATCTGCGGTCCTGCTCCAGGAGACAGCCATACTGGGAGCTTGGGCAGCAAGCCCTGCTCTGCCTGGGATGCACCCAGGAGGAGGTAAATCCTCACGGGCTCCAAGTACTCACCTGCCTGGCGCCCTGGGTGCATTCCTGAATGTGTGCCTTGCTGTACTTGGATGAATATCACCCCTGGTTATTCATCATCCCCAGAGCCTGGGAAGAAGGCAGGAGGGAAAAGATGCTTGGGCAACCTGGATTATCCCCAGATAACTACACCAAACTCAGAGAGGGAAGTTCTGATTCTTTTTATTTGTCAAAGAGGAGGGAAAATGCACTGGAGGAGCAGAAGATGTGTCAAGGCCCTGACCGCCGACCTTGAAGAGGGATGGCAGAGAGGCAGCCTGGAACTTCAGGATGTGGGTCTTGCCTTTCTCAGAGAGCAGCATCCACCAGCCAGCCCGGTGCCTCCTAGAAAACAGCCAGGAGAGGTGGGCTAAGTATTAGGGGGTGAAGAGGCCAACAGAGCAAGCCAAGCAGGACTCTCTGCCACAGTCCATGCTTTCTCTTCCAGTTATCTTCAGCTCTGTAGGCTTGGGCCATCTCCAGGGATGGATGGGAGATTTCTATCTGATCCCTACAAATGAATAGGTACTAGAGCAGTGGGAAATCCTGTGCCAGGGCTGCCCAGTGGGTTAACAGCAACCATGTTTTGTGTGGTGAGACATCAACCCAGCCTCTTGCCAGTTTTGCCTGTTAACAACCCTCAGGTCCCTTTGGGAAAAGTCCTTGTGCTGGCTCTCACTGCTAGATAAACTCTGCAGCCATTTCTCCACTGAATGGCACCCTGCAGCTTTGGTTCAGATGTCCTTACTCACTGCTGGGCAGCACTGCACCCTGAGGTCACGGTACCTCTGTTGGGGCCCTGTGCTCCCTGCTGCAGAAGCTCCAGGGAGCATTCTGCTCAAAAAGAAACAGTCCTACCTGGGTGTAAGCTCCAGCCTGGCTTACATGACATGGCCCCCAGAGTGATTCAAGGAGTTCATGGTGGCCCTTGCTTGGGCATCAAGGGGAGCAAATTTCAGCTGAGGACTTTGCAAGTACTACAGCAACTCACCTATGGTTCTTCAGTGCCACATTCCTCTGTGAAAATAAAGAGAAAGGCTGAGTCCATGGCCATGGTCTGGCTAGTACCATTTAGCACAAAAAATAGCAAGCAGATAATCCAGGAATGAAGTCGAGCAGGGCAAAAGTCATAACATGCTTAAGCCAGAGCACATCTCATTACGAGGGCCTTCTCCTGGCAGTACAAACCACAAAGTGGTGGTAAGTATGGACCAAACGAGCTGCTGTCAGCACGTTCTGGCTGCGCATATCGAACAAGCCAGGCTGGCTCGTACAAATCTGGTTCTGAGCTGTACTAACCTTGGCTGGGCAGCATCTTGATCATTTCATCTGTGTAGCTCTGTTCCTTGGCCAGCTTCCTGAACAGCTCTGTGATTTTGGGACTCACCTCCCGGGTTCTGCCTAAAGGCAAAGACCTGCATTAGCACCAGGCTTTGGTCTGTGCATTGAATTATCTGGGCACCCGATGGACTCATGTAAGTGAGGACAGGAGACAGATGGGCTGGACAGTTCCTGGGAGAAGGTGGGAGGGAGCAGTGAAGATCCCAGCAGTGTGGCAGTGGCTGGGCATGTGAGACATCACTGCCAAGGACTGAGATGAAGCAGAGGCCCTGGCACCAATGCATCTACAACCAGCATGGCAACTCCTGTCTTTAGTTCCCATCTCCACTGTTTCTGATCCCCTCCTTATTCCTGCAGCAGGACCTCCGCTTTTAGCCCTGTTTTACCAAGCGACTTACCCAAAACCATGCATTCCTGTCACAGAGCAGGGATTTTGGACCTGCCCCCTCCATCCCCAAATCATTTACCTTTCTTCCTGCCACACAGGGGATTTTCAGCAGCAACAGCCCCTCAACCACCCAGCGGGGCAACAGGGCCAGACACAAGAGAGTGGGATGGAGGGCAGGTCTCTCTTGCGGGTACTAAGCACCCTCTGGATGACTCTCTCCTCATGACACTGCAAAGCACCACATGGTCTGTGGTCAGCAAGGCTGTTGGTCAGCCCACCACCGGCTACGTACTGTAGAGCCTCAGCATATGCAAGGTCTTCCCATCCTTCACTCTGGATGCAAATATAATTGCATAGCTCTTGTAGTCGGTTTCCATCACCTGCACTGTTTTATTGCCTCTCTCTGTAAAAGAACATGGAAGAAAGTAAAAAAATTCATTCCATCCCCCAAAAGCTCCCACCATGCAAAAGGCCTATTAGAATGCAGAAAGCCAAGAGCCACATCCACCCAGCTCGTATTTCTCCACTCCTGGTTTTTGATCTTGGCAAGGCTCCTCTGAAGGCCTAGAGGGGCCTACAGATCAGATCATAGCAGAGCTGCGACTCAAACAGGGACCATGAACACAGTGAAGGTCTGGGGATGGTCACTGCAGACAATGGAGTAACCTGGCCAGCGTTAGTCTAACATCTGAGGTGCAAATGGTGGGAGCCTTCTGAAATCACTGCTGCTTCATCGCTTGGGACCATCCATACATATTCCCATTGCAGAATGAATCTGCTTTGCCCCAGAGATTAAGTTCAGTCTGAGCACAGCCATCTCAAACCAGAGCAGCTTCTGTCATGGAGGTAGTGCAGGGCAGCCACACTGGAGAGATTCCTACCCTGGCACTGCAGCCAGCCCACAGCCCCAAGGAAGAACCAGTTGCTTCAGAAAGGGCAACAGGAAGTGCCTCCACCCATGCCTAAGTGGCTGTGTTCCCCCAACACTCACCGGAGTAGTAGAATTCACCTGGGATGCCTATTTTTTTAAAGATAAACTCTGATTTCTTGCATCCCTCTGAGCTGCAAAACAAGGAAGGACACTTTTGTCATTCAGCCCCAAGGGTATGCTGGAGCAAGTTTAGCTCAGCAAGGACATGTGCAGGCAATGGTGGAGCATCACCATGCACCAACTGGGGTGAAGTCACCCACCTCCCTCTCCCATAGCGATGCTGGATCTGGAGTTTCCACCCCAAACATTGAATTTCCTGCTAGGGGATGGGATGGTATGGGTGGGTGGGAGGACAGATGCCATCTTCAGAGTAATGGGTGGTTTGGTTGCCAGAACAGAGCACTAGCATGCAAGGATCATCCTATGAGGTCACATGGATGTTCCCTTGTTCATACTGCTCTAATAGGATGGTGCCAGTCCTGCCTGGAAAGCTCTGATGCTCACTTATCAATGTCCTGGGAAGGCACAGGGAGAAGCGAGCTGTCTCAGTCTCCACAAAGGGACCGCCCCTGTGTGGGTACTGGCATGAACCTGCCTGCCCTTCTGTGTCCCATCGTGGGTTCTGATGGCAGGGACCCCTCTGCTCCTGAACAGACTGTGAGCAGTGCTTGGGAAGGGCATCTCCATGACACTGCTCTCCCAAGCCCGCAGATTCAAACCCATGACTGCTACACATCTGGAGGCTCTGCCTCCCTCCTCATCCAGGTCTTTGGTGGGTGCTGGGTGGAGGGACCCAGGTGGAGTCTCACTAGTGAAAGTCTGGGGAAAGGGTCATTCATTGAAGCCCATGGAGAAAAGTGCTTGGCACTTACGTGGGAATGGCCAAGGAGACCTTCAGGGTGCCATTTTCCAGCAGCAAGATGTTGGCCATTGACATCTTCAGCTCATCCTTCTTACGGAGGTAGCCTTCAGAGTCTGAAGCCAGAGCAACGATGTGCCATTTCCCCGCAATCTGGTGGCAAAGGTAGACAGTGAGTCTGGGTGACAAGGCAGGGCTTGCCTCTCTGGAGGGGCTCAGCAGTTTGGACACCTCTCTGCAGGGACCCACAGGCTTCCACAACTCTCAGGCTGTCAGACACCTGTGTCTTTTCCAGGCACATAAATACCCTGTTGGAGCACCTACATTGGAGCTGGGCAACTGCACTTACCTGGGCATCTAGTTGCTCTGAGACAGCTGAGGCAGACAAGATCTCCTGAGGTGGCTGTAATGTCCCCAGTTGTCCCCAGTAACAAAACACATCTTCATTTCCCACCCTGGTGACTGGAGGTCACACTCCCACCTTTCCTTCCCCAGGACCCTGGGAGTCACCTTGTTCTTGTTTATCTCCGCAGCCCCCTGGTCTTCAGCCTCCACATGCAACAAGCAGAGCAGGGCCAGCCCCAGGCTCAGTACGATGGCCCTCATCTTGCCACAGCCTCCTCCAGCTTCGCTCAGCGGGATGGAGAGTGGTCCCAGAGCTGCTGGCTTTATAGAGCTGTGTTTTCCCCTCCCACTCACCTCGTCACTGCTGAGTGTGGAACTGCTTTGATGATGATGTTATTGTTGGCTTGGGTGAGGTGGTGGTTTTGAAGGGCTGAAGTCATCCCTGGGTAAACAGTGTCTCATCTCATGGAAGAAGGAAATTGTTTCCAAGCCTCAAGGAGGAGTTTGAGCGAGAAGTTTAGAGAATCTCTGCTGCACTAGAGCTAAAAGGAAGTTTTTCATCTTTTTAATCCCTCATGAAAGGACAAAGGGACCTTTTGTTCCTCCTGCTAGCTGCTGGAGAACTGCTCAGTGGAAGCAGGAGGTCCTCCTCAGACTGGGCACACATAGGAACCATGGCACTTCAGGGCACTTAGCACCAAGGAGCACAGGGTGACTCATCCCTCTGGCTGGGCGAGCATCTCCCCCAGGGGTACCTCCGCACCCAAATCCTGGTGCCAATACTTTGGTGGCACGACCTGACCCTGTTGTGCCCATGTGGGCGCACCTACCAGCTCAGGAGCATTCAGGCTCCTTGAAGGCAGACAGACCCTGAGCAGCATAGGCAGAAGAAGGGCTTTGTGTCACTGTGGGAGTGCATCACCTCCACCCCGGGGTGTGTTGTCTCCTGTGCTCCCAAGACCTGGCTCAGATGGACTCCTGGGGCCATGGCTTCCTTGAAAGGGTCCACACTGCTTCCCTGCAGCTCCTGGCCAGACACCAAGGGACTCCCACTCCTTGGTGACCGTTGCTTGGGGAGTGGGGATAGTGGGGCAGCCAGGGGATTGTCTCCCCTCTGCATTGGCGGTAGGTGGCTGGCATGTCCCAGTATGGGAGCAGAGGGGGGTGGAGGAAGGGCCTTGCGTGTCTTTGGGGCTCATTGCAGCATGACTCTACCTTGAGCAGCAGGTAGATGGGGATGCCAAAGGGGCCAGGAGGCAGGCATGGAGGTCCCATTCCCTCTGTGTACTTTTCCTGGGCAGTCATGGTGCGGCAGCACTCACACCTCGGTCTGTTCTGCCCCAGCCAGATGGGCCCAAGGCTGGCTGGGGCAGGGGCTGATTAGAGACCTGGATGTCCTAGGGAAGAGCTGCCTACCAAGAGCCAGGCCAGGGCAGGCAGAGCTGGGCAGGTTGCTTGCTTGATCCAACCCACCATCCGAGCTGCATGAATCCTTATTCATCCCAGTTGCTCATTTCTTCTCTGCCCGCACCCTCAGCAGATGCCCCACTGCACCTTCCCCAGCCTCTGCTCTCCCATCATCCCCATCCTGGGCTCTGTAAACAGTGCAGGGAAGGAGCCCCCCCCCCATACACCAAATGTCCCTGTGGTGCTGAGTGGAAAGGTCTTGTCCAGGAAGACCCTGGCAGCCCCTCCTACAATCCCCAATAAATACATCAAGCTCTTGGGAAGCTTCTGCACCTATTTATTCAGGAGGGAGAAGTGTGGTCCTCGTGGGAGCAGCAGGTCTGGCAGAACCCAGCCAGGGAGGAAAGGAAGGGGCACTGTGGAGGAGGGGAGCAGAGCCTGGTTTCCACAAGGTCTGGAGGGCATCCATTTGCCTTCAGTTGCTGGAAGGCAGGACAGTTAGATGAGTGGTTAGAGGCAACAGCACTAATAGGTGTTGGGGAAAGCTGGGCACCACCCTCTCGCTGCAGTGGAGCCAAGGTCCTTAAGGCATCCCAGGACTTTTCCATCCCAGGCCTCATTCTCCTGCAAGCCCAGACCAAATCAGTGTCCATCCTGGGGCTGAGGTTCTTGGGGGCTGGCAGCTTGTCCTTGTTTCGCCAAAAACCCCTGCTCTTGGCTGGGGGAAAGCTGGCAATACATGGGACCTCACGGGAAGGGTGCTTGGCCCCCCTGTGCTCCCAAACGCCACTCTAGGGTTCTTCCCAAGGAGCACAGCTCCTGTGGGGACCTGCAGGCAAGGGGATCATCACCAGCCCAGGACCTGGGCTGCCCTGCCCACTGCACCATGTCCTCAGGGTACCTCCTGTGAAACACCAGAACAATTTCACTTCATGTGCTTTTCTTTAACATTTTGCTGAAAATCTTGATGTTTTCCTTGGAGAAAGGCCCTTCCCTGACTCAAGTATGCAGGAGCAGCACTCTGAGGCAGGCAGGGGGCACCTCAGGAGGTCGTGAGTCCCTGCTCAGCCCAGACCGTGCTGGGATGGAGACCCACTTTCTCCTGGTCACACTCACCTGACAGCCTGGGTGCACTCATCTGTTAAAAAGGAAAAAAGAGGTCTAAACATGCTGCCTCCTCTCTGCCATAAATGGTGTCCTGAGCCCCTCCCAGCCCTGTGCCCACCCCACTGCCACAGCGTGGCAGATGATCCCGGAGACACATGGCAAGACTGTTCCCCTGAAGAGCTGGCCCTCTTGGAGAGCATCCTCGCACAGAGGGGATACGTGTCTCCCTGCCTGCCCTGCTGGCACTCACCCGACTTTGGCATGACCACCAGCATGTCATCAGTAAGGCCCATGGTGGGGTAGAGCTCTTTGAACTTCTTCAGGAGCTGGGGGTCCACATCCTGCCCCCTCGCTGCAGACAGAAACCCAAAGGAAAGGCAAAGTTGATGAGCTGGTGGTCTGGTGGCAAGCTGGACATGCAGGGCCCAGCTCCCATGAGTGCAGGGATGGGATTCCAGAGAAGAAAAAACAAGCAGTGATAAAGCAACGGAGAAATGCAGCCACGCGATGGACACTGGATGTTGTTCTGGCCATCCCATCGTTGCCTTGGGCTGACAGAAAAAGGACACAAACCCCTCTGCATGGACAGCCCACTTGCTTGGTTGGGGGGCCATCTGCCCACCCGCCCATGAGAGCCACTAGCAGGGCTTACAAGGCAGGCAAGATGAGTAAGCACTGGCTGGAGCTCACAACAGCCTGGGACCCATGCGTGAGAGGTAGTCACCAGGATGCATGGGTGGATGTGAGTTGCCTGATGCTCCAACCTCAGAAGCTCAGTACAACTGGTATATTATGGGGGTTTGCAGCCAGACTGAAACACTGCAGGAGGGGATTTGATTCGAAACAGGATAACAGGGGGATATTTTTGATGCAAAGTTTCATTCATACCAAAATGAATTTCCTGCATGTGCCTTGGTGCTAGAAAGTTCAGTGCTGATGTGGTGGCAGTGGATGGCAGTGGGGAGCCCTGCCTCTGCCACTCACTGGTGGCCACGTCTTGCTTTGGCCTTGGAGAGCTGAGGCACCTGTCCCCACTCCCAAACTCACTGTAGAGCTGCAGTGTGGTGCTGGGCTCCCTGTCACTCTCCTTGACGGTGTATACAATGGCGTAGTGATCATAGTCCGTCTCCATCACACGCAGGTCCCGCTTCTCTTCTGCTGCTAAAAAGACCCCAGATGATGCTCAGCCAGGCAATGTGGCACAACCTCATGCACTCCCTTGGCTCCCAGATGCTATACAAGCTGCACAGAGGTCAGATAGGACTCACAGCTTGAGGCCCTGGCCCTCAGTTTGCCCTTTCACTGTGCAAAAAAGGAGAATGCCATCTCTGAGCCAGTAGCTCTTTGAGTATATATTGGCTTGCCCAGGTGCCCACTTGCAGTACAACCTCTTGCCAAGTGATGGAGGCGGAAGGGCCAAACCCAGCTCTCACTTGCTCCCTGAGAGCATGGAGAAGGCTTGGGCTACTTATTCTTGGTTTTGAGGGTGCCACAGAGGCAGCCAGCCAGAGGCCAAGAGCAGAGTCCATCACACCAGTCTCCCTGCACACACGTACCTGTGTCGATGTAGTGCCCGGCCTGCCCACTTTGCTGGAAGAACAGCTCAAGCTTTTTGCATTCATCTGACCTGAAAAGGAAAAATTGAAACAGCAGATGCAGCTCAAAGTCATGCTGGGGGTAGTGGGGTGCCTGATGGAGAGGTAAGCCTGGCCTGGCTGTGGGGATATGCCAGTGTGGAGGCAGGATTGGGCACCGCAGGGCACTGCGGGCTCTAGGATCTGTAGGGAGAGTGCTCCCCTTCCAACTGCCTTTGTCAGGAGGAGAGTCCCCAGCCCTAGCAGGATGCTGCAGGCACCATGGCAGAGCAGGAGGACCACTCTACCCACAGCATCCAGGCAGCACCAGGCACTTACATGGGGAAAATAACCTTCATAGCCAGGTTGCCCTCCGGTGTGAAGTTAGTGACGATGATGGATGACTTCATCTTATCCTTCATGCTCAGGAACACTGGGCAGTTGGAAACGGCAGCCATGATGTGCCATGTCCCTGCAAACTGTGACGAGCACTCACCAGCGGAGGTTGAGAAAGCCATGGGGACCTGCTACCCATGGCTTTGTGGGGACTGGCCACTCACCATGGGGACCTGCTACCCGCTATGGGTGATCTGCTACCCATCATGGGGACTTTCCACCCTCCCGGGGGAACTGCCACCCACCATGGGGACCTGCCACCCACCATGGGGACCTGCCAGCCACCACAGAGTATCTGCTACCCACCATCTGGATATGCCAGCCATCATGGGGACCTGTCACTCGCCATGGGGAGCTGCCCCCCTCCAGAGGATCTGCCAGCCACAGTGGGGACCTGCCACCCACCATGGAGGATCAGCCACTCACTTTGGGGGATCTGCCAACCAGCAGGGGGACCTATCACCTGCTGTGGGGAACCTGCCACCCACCGTGGGGACCTGTCATCTGCTGTGGTGACCTGCCACCTTCCGAGGGGATCTGCTCCTCCGAGTGCTGCTTCATCACAGCTCTATCCTGCCCCATGCCAGGAGGGTGGACACAGCACCCAGCCCATGTTCCCTGGGGAAACACAGCACTCTCCAGGGCATTGCAGCTGCAGGGGTGTAGGTATCCCTGTGGCGCAGACAGTGCTGGGTCTGGCCATGGCAGAAGAGAGAGACATGGGCCAGTGTCGGCCAAGACTAACCCACTTTCCACTATCTCATGGCCGATAACATGGCACAGATTCAGACCTGGGATCGGGGGACCTGCAGGTCTGGGCACCCCTGCCCAGGGACATAGCAGGGGATGGGACCCCTGCCCCAACCAGCCTCCTCCCTAGCCACGGCAGGAGTCCCCAGGCTGCCATCCTTTGCAGTTACCTTCTCAGAGTCGAAGCCTGGCTGCACAGGGGCCTCAGCCTGCGTCCACGGCAGGCAGAGCAGGGCTAATGCCAGGCTTGACAGCACGGTCTTCATCCTCACTTAAGAAGCTGAATGTGGGCTGGATGGACGTGCCTCTTCCCATACCCGCCTTTATACCCCACTGCTGGCAGCACCCCTCCCGCCAGCCCCCGCTTTATGCAACAGGTTACACAAGAGCAGGGATAATTTGTGCGAGTGTTAGGTGACAGCGTTGGCCCCTTCCAGGTCTAATTGCCCAGTCCTGAATGAATGCAGCCTTGTCTGAGACCCAACGAGGAGCAGGTCAGGGACCAGGCGGTGCCCTGTGCCCAGTGGAGTGTCCAGGGAAGGTGGGGGAACATGGGCACAGAGGGTGCCCTGTGTGGAGGGTCCCCACTGCTCCCCTCCCAGCTGGGGGGTCCCTTGGCCCCGGGGCTCTGGCTGTGCAGGGATGGACCCTGCCTCGAGGCAGAGTTTGGCTAGGCCAGTGCTTTAGCCCAGGCTCTAACCACTGCCCACCAGGATGGGGTGGCCTCCTGGCAGCGGGCAGAGGCCCTGCTCCCAGAAAGCACCTGTGAGGGCCTGGGTCCATGGCACGGAGACCATGTGGACGGTCAGGGCTGAGTCACATCAGCCCCTTAGAGCAGTCACTCTGGTTCACGTCCATCCTCCCACCAGCTCTCGAAGATCCCCTGAAATGACCCAGCTCTGGTCCCATCCCCACCACTGCAAGCCCACTGTCTGAAGGGGAAATTGAGGCAGGGATGCGTGATTGCCAAGGGTGACCAAGGGAGCCCGTGGCAGATGGGAGGTGATGATCCCATTCCCAGCGTGTCCTGACCCTTGGGAAGCCCCGAGGAAGGGGAAGAATCCTTGGCAAGAGAACAGGTTTCATGGCTCTGCCAGGCAGCAAGGGTACAGGATGTCCCATCCTGCCAGCTCTCTCTAGGTGCTGATTGGCTGTTTGAATCAGTCCTGCCCTCTGGGGCCAGCCCGAGCCCTGCATCAGCACCACCTGTGCTTGCTCCTACCCACCCAGTGGCTGGCTGGGGGGAATTGGGACAGCCTGTGGTGGGGAGATGTGGATGCCCCCCTCCGCACCAGTCCTCAAGTAAGGGAGGACCCTAAGAGGCCCCAGCAGGGCTCCCCTTTCTGTTCACCCCCCTTGACGAGCCAGCAGACAACGGCAGAGGGCTGGTGTTTTATATGGGGCTTTGGCGGGGAGGCGGTACAGATGTGGGGGTGCAAAGGTAGAAAGCAAAGGGTGACGCCATGGCATGGGAGTGCTGGGGATGGGGTGGGGGTGGCTGCTCCGCTCGTGGCACTCTCTGGGCTCCAGCCCAGCAGCAGCTCGTGGGGCCCACCTGGAAGAGAGGGAAGGCAAACGCAGCTGAGCTGGGGGAAGAGGATGGGATGATGCTGGTCCTCGGAGTCCTGTGCCAAGCAAGTGGGCACCAGCCATCCCACGGCCCAGGGCGATGTGGTCCTGTGGGGCTAGCTCTCCTGCACAGTGGGGAGGGCATAAAGTGGCTACTGGGGCTACAGGAGAGCTATCTGCATGGGGAACAGTGTTGGGGAGCTCTCCCCCCTGAGGGGAAGAGAGATCCCCAGGGAGAGGAGCTGGGATGTGGTTGAAGCAGCCTGACAGGGCCAGGGCAGGATGCTGGGGGGCTCTGCAAATGGAGCGTCTCTGAGCACCTCCCCTATAAACCCCCATGTGGGGCTGGTCTGAGCACCAGAGAAAACAAGACTCACCTAGGCAGCGTCAGCCATGCATTTATCTGCAGAAGGAACAAAACCAGAGATGAGCTCACCCACAGGCTCAGCGAGACCACTGCCCTCCAAACCCTCCTCGCAGGACCCCAACACGCTCATCCCACCCATGCATCCCTCTGAAGCCAGGATCACCAGCCAGACACCCATCCCATCCCATCCCATCCCATCCCATCCCATCCCATCCCATCCCATCCCATGCCTTGGGAGGACCCATGTGGCTGGGGGTGCCATGCTCAGTAGGGCCCAGCTTCCCTCCACCCCATCTGACCTCTCCAGCCTTTCCTCCTGGCTGTTATTACCTGTTTTGGGCAGGATGAGGATATCTTCATCTGTCAGGCCCTGTTCCTTGGAGAACTGGGTGAACCTCTCCAGGCGCTCGGGACTGAGCTCCTTAGTCCTGCCTGCAGCCAGGAGAGCAGGATCATGCGAGAGTGAGAGCAAGCTCTGCTACTCATCACCCAGCGGGCAGTGCTAGGTCATATGGCCCAGGGGCAGTGTAAGCCCAGCAAGAGCTTGGCAGGAGCAATTCCCTTCAGGAAAGTGGTCCAGACCCAGCTATGCTGCATATCACTCAAGGTGATTCAGATTTTGCTGGTCACTCTGGATACTGGGCAGGACCCCATGTCCTGGCTGTACCCACAGGCTTGGGCATCCCAGCCACTGGCCCTGGGAGATCCTGCCTCCCTTCTCTGGTGGGAGAGATCTCCCAGCCAAGTAAATCCCAAGACAGCCTGCTCTTTCGGGTGCAGAGCGGTGGGTGACAAGCGGGGGTCCCGACGCTGGTGCAGACGTACTATAGAGCAGCACCATGGTGGAGGTGCCGGTATTCTTGGAGATCTGGGTGGCCACCAATGCATACTCGTCGTAGTTGGTCTCCACAACACGGATGTCATGCTTGCTGCCCCAGCCTGCAGTGGATGGAGGGGGTACGTCTCAGCCCAGCCAAGGCAAGGGCAGGGAGCAGGCAGGTAGTGCCAGGCACAGCTAACACTGGTGCCAGGCCAGGGGCAGCAGTGCCCATGCCCAGGGCCCAGGGTTGTGTTGCCGAGGTGCATGCAGGGGCTGTCCTGGCACCATCCTGCCTGCAAAGGGATGCACTGGGACCCTGGCCCGTGGGACCAGATACTCACGTGTGCTGGTGTAGCTGAACCGCCCTGGCTGCTCTGTCTTGATGTAAAGGCTGTTCCTTGTCTCACACCGATCAGCCCTGGAAAGCAAAGCACGAAGCTGTCGAGGGGCTGGAGAGGAGCTGCCTGCGTGGCCATGGGGGAAACACCAGCACCACCAACCTTCCCCAGCACCCAATACACCAGCTGTCAGACCTGCTGGTGCCAGAGGAAGGGGGAGCACCCAGTACCTGGCAGGATCAGGCTCCCTGTCACCCCAAGGGCACCCACCACCCCCTGGGCAGGCCCTTCGGGGGTCAGGGAGGCACAGGCACCAGGGTGACCCTTGGGCATAGCAGTCTGGGGCTGCCACCCATCTCCCCTGGTGCCAGCAGTTCACCCATCATGTTGCCTGTCCTCACTTGGGGTAGGTGGAAGTAACTTCCAGGTTGCCTTCTTCAGTGGCTGAGACAACTGTGGTGCACATCTTCATGAGGTGCTTCTTCTCCTTGAACCAGTTGGAGTTGGAGGCCAGGCCAATGCTGTACCATTTCCCTGTGAACTGCACACAACCTTGTCTCAACCGCAGGCTGGGCACTATGCCTTGTCTTGTCTGCCCTGACACCTGCTGCCCCATGAGTGGCAGCAGCAGGGACAAGTCCTACCCCTCAGCTGACCAGGAGCGCCTGGCTCAGGCCACCTCTCTGTCCAGCATCAGTCTGTGCCTTGCGGCAGGACTGTATCCTGGCATCTTCCTCACCTAGGGGGCTTCTACAGTCTTTGGAAGGTCTTGCTCAGCTCCTTGTCTCCACAAAACCCAGAAGCAAGGATTCCCCCTGCTTAACACCATGCCTTTCAGTGCTCAGCACTAAGGGCGATTTCTTCCTATTTATTTCCCCCATGCCCAGGCCGGAGGAAAGGAATGTCCGAATCAGACGTGCTGTAGGCATCTAGCCAGAGGCACAAAGAGTGTCTCAGTCACTGCTGTGATGGGTGGCATCCCTTGGCAAGGTGATGGGCAGGTGTCCAGGACAGCCAGCAACTGAGCCGGCAACCCAGCCTGGGCCAAGGGCCAGCACTGCTCACTTGATGGGCTGCTCCACTTGCCCCAGCCTACTCCCTGGGGCCAACTGCCCAGGTGACCCAGAGGGGAGCTGGCTGCAGGCATTGGAGATGTCCAGGGCTGAAAGCACTGGCAGGCTGAGCTGGCTCAGCAGGGACATGCCAGACCCCTGTCCTTGCAGGATCTGTCTCCAGCCCCGTTGCCTTCCCAGAGCAGCCACATATAGGCAGTTCATGGCATAGCATAAGCCTGCTCTGCACCCCGTGGGGCTCAGGCCAAGGGGCTAGGACCCCAGGCGTGCTGGCTGCCTGGACCTCCCCTCCTCTGCCGGGAGCAGACTGTGGCCTGCCCTCTGTGGAGGGATGAGGATCACTAACACCCCAAGCATGCCAGCAGCTAGCTGCGGGGGCTGGGAAGGGCAGAAGGGTGCATGGGACCCCCCCCCCCCCCACAAACACACACCTCCCCAGCACAGCAGCCCTTGCTTTCTTAAGATCTCTGTCCAGGGGTGGCTTGGGGGTTGTATTCGGGGGGTGGAGGTCTGTGGCCCCTCTCCATGAGATCTGTCAAACTGAGCTTGCTTTTCTCAGTCCTTCCCTCCAAGACCCCCATGCATCTATAGAAACACCACCAAACCAAGGTCCACCAAACCGAACCCCCAGGACTTGGAACAGCCAAGGGATGGGGAACTAAGGGTGCATCGGGTGCCCTCCTCCTTCCAGAGCCCAGGACAGCCTGGTCCCACATCCATCTGTAACACACTCTCCGCATCTGCTGGGAGATGATCCCCACCACGTCCCGCGCGCCCCCACGCCAGCCCCCATGCCAGCCGGGCTGCTATCACCTGGTCCTGCTGGAAGTCGGCTTGCACAGGAATGCTCTCCTGTGCATGCAGCGCCCCGAGTAGGGCCAGCCCCAGGATGCTGAGCAGCGTGGCCTGCATGTCTCCGAGCGCTTTGCCCTTTCCTGTGCTGAGCTGAGCTGAGTTCAGGCGATGTGCCGGAGTGCTGGAGACTCGGGCGAGCTCCCTATTTATGGGCAGGCCGTGCAATGGCCCCAGGGGGCGAGCGCTGCAGGCAGGCCAGCCCCGTCTCCCCCCCACGCTGTTATGCAAGCAGGACTAGGGGTGAGTGCCGAATCCGAAGTGCAGCCTGGGAAGCTGCAGATTTTTCCCTCCTGTTGATTTTAGATGTTTGCCTCCGGGTGCCAAACTTCCCTGCAGCAAAAATACAACTTGCAGCCAGTTTAGCAGCTCTCCCTGCCCACCGGCGCAGCAGAGCTCGAGACCGGTGTGGGGAGAGCCAAGGCTGGCCACCAACACGGAAGGGGGGCCAGGGCCACCTGGGGTGGCCAGGACCGAGGGCCAGGGTTTGCCGACTGCCCGATCCTTGCAGCACATCCTCATTTGGGTTCAGAGAGGGGCCAAAGCAACATAGTGGGGATACTGGATGCCTACGGTGTCCTGATCCCAGATAGGGGACTCATGGCCACCTTTGGGCACTCCTGTGGGACCTCACCTTCTACTTTACCCAAGTCCCTGCATCGCCCAAAGGAGCACCTTGGCCAGCCCTGCTGCCCGCCCCAGGCCCCACAGGCCTCTAGAAGTTTCATGAGGAAGAGAAAAGCTCAACCAGCTCCACAGCTAACATGGCCCCCCTTCCCTCTGGGACCCCACGATTCCAGGGGTCTGATGTGGTTTTACAGCCCTGATCTCTGTTGTGCCCTTCTGGCAGGAGGTATCAGCATGGCTCAGGCACTCCCCGGCACTCAGGGGCATGTGGTCCCGCAGCACCCCCAAATCCAGGCTGGGCAGCACAGGTCCGAGCCGGTCACCTCCCAGTGCCAGCCCTGGGTCTGGCTGCAGGGCCGGGCTCGCCTCACCCCCAAAGGGCTCTGGTACATGCAGGGCAGTGTGTCTGAGATGTCCGCCAGCACTGCGTCCCTGCGCCCATGACCATGCCACCTTCCCTGGGCGGTTGGCACACCGGCCCAGCTAACTGAGGAGGGGAATTGAGTTGGCAGAGAAATCCTGGCTGGAGAAAAGCCGACAGTGGGGAAGTCAACAGGGTGGCTGGTGGGGGGAAAAGAGCTCCAGGCCCCTGTGACCTCGGTGACGCCAGGCCGGTGTCCCAGGGCTGCGGGTGAGCACGGGGTGTCAGCGGCAGAGGTGGGCAGCCGGGCTGG